TGCCCGGGAATTCGCTCTTGTGCAACTTCAACCATGCGCTGCTGCCATCGCTCAGCTTCTCGATGTTCAACAAATGGCTTACGCACTCCACTGCAAATGGCCAAAAACATGGTGGTAGTCCAGCTTCTAGTAGGCATGTCGATGTTGTAAGCATCATGAACTGATTGTTCCTTTCGGCGAGTGAATTGTTCTGGGGATGTCCTGGAAGCGACTGGTCTAGTGGAATCCGGAGTTCCTTGAGCGCTGCTTCAAATTGTGGCGCGTCATCCGCGTAAGCGTTGGTGACCTTTCTCTTACCGATATAGTGCTTCATCGCCTGCACCACTTCGTCACTATTGCTTGCTTTCAATGGATAGCCCCATATCACACCAGTGAACCGATCTCGAATCACCAATACGTCCTTATCCGGCATGATCCCATCTCTCGCCATCTTCTGAGTGTTCATGAGATCGAAAGTGATCAGGTCACCGAATGCCTTCAATTTCCGTTTGAAAGCTCCCTTGCTAGTCTTGTAGTGCTTCATCTTTGCTCTCACACATGACTTGCAATATGGATTCTTGTATCGGTGCGTCATCAAGTGCAGTATGGATTTCGCCTCGTTCTTCAGCACTCCTGGTTTTGATAATCTAGCTTCCCCGTCAACCACGTCGACTTCCAATAGTCCCTCTTCATCTTCACCAATGTCACTCTCCTCTCGTTCAGAATCCGCATCACCTCCACACTCGTCGCCTCCGGCATCTTCAGATTGACCATCGTGATCACTATCGAATCTCGGGTCTTCCCCGTCATATTCCTCTTCCGGAGAGTCATCACCGTGTCCCTCTGGTTCTCCGTCGACGCCTGCAACAGCTGGATTGATATCGGACTCACCATCCCGATCTCTCTGGTTACCTTTCTTCTTTCTCCTCCGTCTCCGTGGTTTCTTAGGCGGAGGTTCCTCTTGTTGTGTCTCCTGACCTGCTGTGGCCTCGTCCTCATGCCCCACACCTGACAGTATGCGATGAAGTATCGTAGCCAAGCCGTCTGGTCTTGGTAAACACCTCCCGTCATCATCATTCACCTTGATGTAGGGTATGTTGTCATGCACCGATAGCGGGATCTTGTTCGCGTTCTGGTCGATGAGGTATGGCAATTGATTTGCCGGCCATATGAATGAGTACCCTTGTTCCATGCACCGTTTCCCGATGGAAAAGACTGATGGCGTGCTCTCCAACACGTGTGCCTCGGATTTCATGGGTAGCTCGTCCACATTGATGTCCACCATCTCTGATGTACTAGTTACACCATTCGCTGTCATGAAACTCACGGATTTGGGTCCTTCCTTGGTGGTAAGGCCCATGGCATTGACTTTCTCTCTTGAGATCAAATCGTGTCCACATCCCGTGTTCATGATGAAGCGTATTGGTGGTCCGTCGTACCTCTCCACGGCCATGAACATCGTGTCTCCTGGTATCGTGTAGTTGACAGAATCCTTCCTTACTATCTCGCTGGTGTTGAAATCAGACAGGTCGACGTTCACCTCTATTCCTTCATCTTGAGTGGTTTGTATCCATGCCTTGGCAATGTGTTCAGCAGAGTATAGCTCCATCATCTTACCTTTGGCATGTGCTACTCGCGCAGCTATATTGCTCACTCTGAGGGCTCTCAACGACGAAATGAGCTCGGTATCCACCTTCTGCACCTCACTCTTCTTCTTCCTGAGGGGGCGGGTGTTTAGTTCGTTACCAGGATCGCAGGTAAACGTCGTCACATTCGCCCGGTCATCGAATCTGACTTTAAAGCGAAGCGCCAGCTTACCTTGTTGTACGTTGGGAAGTGCGGGTTGCACGTCCTCGCCATCACTCTCGATGTCTCCGCAAAGCATGAAGGCTGGCGCAGCCGGTTTGGGTTTGGCTTTGCCTTTAGCCTCTTGTTTTGTGGCAGGAGCAGCGTGGTGCTGACGTCGGCATTTGTCCCCGAACTTGCACGACCCTTTCTGCCAATTCCAACAGACCTGATCCTTCATTGGCTTAGGGCTACTGCTCCTGCCACCAGGACTCTTTGATCTGTCACCCTTGAGGCTTTCTGGTTTCTTAGCAGAACTTTTGTGTTTCTCTTGGTGACTAAACTTGCATTTGTCTCCTCTAGAACATCCGTTTTTCCCATGGAAGTGGAAGGCGCATCCTATCTTGGACGTATCTGCTGGAGTCGCTGACCTGCCACGATCCCCTTTTGGGCTCTTCGTGGTGGATCTTCCACGATCCTGCTTCTTGTCCTTCTTGTTGTGGTCCTTCGGATTAGCCTGAGGAAGTACTGGAGCGGCGTCTTTCGGTGGATCGGCCTTGGTATTCTTGGGTTTCGCTTTAGGGTCCTTCTTCTCCGCCGCTGGTGTGGCTTTCACGAGGTTCCCAAAGGCTTTTTCCCTTTCTTTCTTGTTTGTGGTCTCAATTGATTTCCGTATCCACTTCGCCATGATCTCTCGTAACTTCTGATAGGTCTTATCCGGATCCTTATCCAACATGTTGTCGTACACGGACAAGTCTAACGCCATAACTTTGGAATCCTTAATCTTGTCCCAAAGCAGGTTGCGGAGTGCTTTGTCAGGAAGCATGTCATCCGCATCCATACCCGATATGATCTCATCCCACTGTCCAAGGAATCTGGAAAGTTGATTATTTCGAGGGAACTTTAGATCGAATAAGTGCTTGGATGCATACATCACATCGACGTTGTCGGCACTCCGGAAGCTATCGACGATCAACGCTAACATTTCTCGTCCCTTGACCATTCCAGGAGTTGTGCCTCTCGCACGTCTCTGCATCATCTGCCTCACCTTCAGTTGTACGTCATGAGATCTCTCACCTGCTGCGTGGATGATCGTATGTAGGGTGATACCTAGCTTAGCGTCTATGCTAGCGAATCTTGCTTCGCCTGATGTCTCGAGCAGAAATGGGTCATACGGTGATCTGAAGGCATCCGAGAGCCACTGGATCCAGTCTTCTTGTCTTTCGTCGCCCGATGCCGTCACGACTGCCGCTACAACCTGGGATTTCCAAACCTCCAGGTCGTGTATCTTGGGCCATGCAGGGATGTTGATCTTCTCGTGTTCCTTCCGAGATATCTTGGAGCCACCCGAGCTAGAGGATGAGGCGGCACCATGTTCGGTTGCGGCTGCATTCTCAGCATTCAAGCGCTCCTCTTCGTACCTCCTCCGGTACTTATTCCTCTCATCCCTGAGCCGTGCTGCATGCGCTTCGAATTCCATCATGTCCTGTTGGTTCTGCATCATACCTTCGTAGTACTCCATTGCCTCTTTCTCCTCGGACCTTAATGACTTTTCGGTACGTCCAAGTTCCGCTCTAAGCTTGGTCATCATCTCGTTCTCCACATTGGGTTCTGATCCCATGTCGGGTGGTTTCATCTTCAGTGCGACCTTCAGTTGTGCTTCACTTGCGCTTGATTCGATCAATTCTTCCTGAAGACGTTTCAGCATCCTCTCTTTACGTAGAATGTCTTCTTCCAACATGTTCATCTTGACTTCGGCTTTCTTGAGTTCGGCGTTGGATGGTTGATACGGTCGATCGGATCCTTGAATCCTCGCCTGTGTCAACTCCTCGTTCGCCTTCTTCAATTGCTCCCTGATGGTCATGATGAAATTGTCCTGATTATTAGATCGGTTGTTGAGCTCCTCATTCTCTTCTGATAACCATTTGATCTTGCTTGTATACATTGCTTCCCTCATCTTCATCTCTTCAGCATATTCGTGTTTGTTCCTGGCACTCTGCCTTTGTAGTCCAACCAACTCCTGTCGACACAGATCCTTGACGTTCTCAGCATCTGCGATTGTAGTCATGACCTCGGTTACGGCTCGATCTCTTTCCGCCGATATAGCCTGGATCTCTTCCGTGCCGATGTTCACAACTTGACTAACCATCTCTGCGCTGTTGCGATCAGCGTACTCCCCTAACTGGGTGAGACGATCCCGCATTGCCACACGATCAGTGTCCATCTGGTATTGCAGGTCGTGTGCTGCTGAGAGCAAACAGTCTCTGGATTCTGTAAGTTGGGTGATTCTTCGTTGATTTCCATATCCTTCGACATAACATTCTTCGAGGTGTGCCATCACTACTTCGTGGACTTCGGTCTCGTGTTGTATAATCTGGTTCTGTCTCTGCTCACATTCGACCATCCATGCGTTTTGGTGGTTCAACATATGCACTTCGGCAAGTAGTTGTGCACACTTCGCATTGAGGTCTCCATCGGCCCGTGCTAGTTGTAGGATGTCAGTGCTTGCCCTTGCTCCATCTCCAGCTTCGCTGTCCGACGGTACTGGTACAGTTGACCCATCCTCCAATGCTAGCACTCTCACTGCTCCGGTGTCAGTCCTCCTCCTTGTCTCCCTAGGGCTACGGCCTGACCTCGGTGTCCCCCCCGGTGGTGTCGATTGTGCTGACGGGGAACGACTTCGAGCTCTACCTGTCGCAACTTCTCTCACCACTGTCAGAGTCTCCGCTTCGATCGTACCTGGACTAGAGTTGTGGGATGCGCTCATCCGATCTGCGGCCGCAGCAGCTGCTCCAAAAGATGCAGTGCTGGCGTCTGATTGGTCCATCTTCAGTGACTGAGGGTAACTGATCTATCCGATGCGTGTGCGTTTAGATGGTGTTGTGTAAGGCCGTAGCTCGTACCCAGCTCAAAGGAGTCTGGATACGGCTGATAACCTGCGAACGGATGAAAAGTGTGCCCTGGCCCCGTTCTAGCCCTTAGTTCAACATGAAGCTCGCGCGCTAAAGCTCCTTTTTACCTGGTTGGGCACTTGAGCCAAAAGTATATGGCATGTACCTGTATAGCAACTATACTGGGACCTCATCCCTATTGACAATAACAACAGTCATCCAGAGAGGCTCTGTTCCTTTCCAAGCGCTGATGACAGAATCCCCATCTGTTCACTGACTTCACAAGGCTGGCAAGCAACAAGCCGTATGCTTTTTGGCTATCTGAAGTTTCTGTCACAAATGGGCCTCTTCGCAAACTTTCTTAGCTCCTGCCCAGCCCTCCAGAGGCACTGCGCTGCAGCAAAAGGTTGCTAACTGCACGGCATCCTGGGCAGCAGGAACGGACTCGCAAGATCCAAAAGTACTCTAGCGATGGCCTCCAACCGACTAGCGGTGGCCTCCAACCTAATAGCAATGGCCTCCACCCTAGTAGCAGTTCCACTTGATGGCATCGGACCTCATATACAGTGTTTTAAAATCGTTCGTTCGGCGACAATCTGCGCTAAATCCAGTCCTCTGCTGCCACTGCCACTAGCTCTTCAGAGACTTTCTGGTCTCTAGCATCACTTTTGCAGGAACCGACTTTCCTTGCAAGAAACATGAACAAAGTATAACAAAGTGGGGATTTTGAGAATCGTAGGGCGCATGGGTCAACTCGTTTTGGCAAGTGGTACATGACTGACCATTCCCCGGCACACTACTCTCTTCGGTTCTGAGGTCGCACATTTTGGGCAACAGTTTGATACAGTCATGTGCCTGCCTGGGGTGCCTGTCTACACACAATATGTATATTAGGTCAGCGCCCCCTCTGGGACCTACATTGAATCCACTCAATGCTACACCGATACTGTTACATCTATATTTAACCTCATTGCAATGCAAAAAGGTCCAAATTGCAGGAACATTACTGCAATAACATGGAGCAACAAATAACGATCATGTGAACCCTAGTATGCCTTGTAGTGCGACTCAAATGAATCAGGGATCGGCAGAAACATATGCCCTTTTGGCGATCGGATGATGGAGGCTTCATAGCATTTGGACACTTTGACTCTAAAGATGTTCACAAGTTCTCCGTAATTCCACGCGAATAACAGCGCAAACCCCCAAAGCCTAAAACACTAGAAAAACAACCCTAATAAGCCCTAATTGATTGGTGAGTGGACCGTGCATCCTGGTGCTAAAATGTACTAAAAGTACACCCAGTCAGTCCCGTCTACCAACGGATGCGGCATCCTGACATTCCCACCCAAATATTTACAGTAAATACATCCCCTACAGACAAACTAGAAGCAATTACTGTAAAGCAATTTGAAAAATTCCGCCCTTCCTTAGAATGCACACTAGCCTCTGTAACTCCTGTAGTGCTTGTCGTCCCACGTCCAGCATCTTTGGGAGAGTTCTTCTCCGTGATGTTCTCAACTTTGCTGCTTCCTCCACGCTGTGAAACCAAGTGAGACTGGTGGGTCAAACCTCTTTTCCTCAAAAATTGTGCACAAGGGTTTGAAAACACAGCACATCATCTGTCTGAAAGCCATTGTTTTGCTCAGAAAGCCCTCTCCATAACCAGAGCCCGGCTAGCTGCATGATGTGACCGCAAAGCTGCATTGAGAGTGGCCACGAGAACAGAAGCGGCCTTCAGATTGGCGGATGGAAACCTTCTGCCTTGCAGACGAAGCCTGGAAAACCTCCTATCGCACAAGTATGTCGAAAAGGAGCAAGATTGCTATATAAATGCCGAAATGCAGCTACTCACTCGTGAAGTTTGCTGTGAACCTTGTTTGTGCTTATCAACTAAAAACATTTGTTTTTTTCCGTTCTACAATCCCTTGCCGTTTGAGGGAGCGGACTTCACGCTACGTACTACCCCTTGCTACGAAACAACAAGGCTTGGCTTTTAGGTTCGTTCATTCTCTTCTTGTTCTGTCCTTTCATTTCCCCCTTCGGAGCCCCAGCCTTCGTTTCCATTCAATTGGTGGTATTCTCAAAACGATGAAAAGAACTACAGTGGTTTTGCTTATCTTTTTGATTGTCTTCTCGTCTTGTTTTCTTCGTTTTTTCCGTCAGAGCGCTCGGTTGCAGGCAGCGTCGTGGCTCCGCCAGGGCCGCCAAGCGCCCACCGCATCGTCAAGGCGGCGGAGCAGCTGAGCAAGGTTCACGCGACCCGCCTGAAAGGTGGACGGACGGCAGACTGGACCACTTAGAAGACTTTGTAGTGGTCATTCAGCATGGCTTAGACCCCAAACAGTTTCAGAAGGAGTTTTTTTCCGTTCCTTGAATTCGAGTGTTGGTGGAAACGTCTGCAATAAATCGTATTCCTATAGCCTCCAGCTGATTCACAAAAGCATGTAAACAAACATCGATTTTCAGGGAACATAAAATATGAAACGGTTGCAGTCATAGCCACAGAAAACAAATCCAGACAAGGCGGTGGAGGTCAGCCCTCTTTTTAAAAGAGGGAACCCTAACAGTAAACTGTTTGGGGAATGAAGTGCCTTTTTCAACAGAATACTCAGAATAGTGCCATGTATTGTCTACCCATGGCTGCAAGCAAAACAACATTGCCCAGACTGCCCTGCATCAGCTACGAAGCTATTCTTCCAACTCGTTTACCAAAGACTGCGAACCAAAACATTTGAACCTTGCAAGGATCAAGCCAGTCTCCCACTTATCGCAATGTTCACACACTAAAGTCAACTTTCTCAAAACTTGAGGCAATTGGCATCGCTTGCAACTTCAGTGGTGGCTGAAGTAACAGCTCTGTACTTTAAGTCATCCCTGACCCACCTCTTCCACATAATGGCCTTCAAAAATGTATGAGCACAGGGCTGAAGCTTCTTCACCTAGGTTCAACAAACAAATGACGAGCTGCATGTGCTCGCATGGTATTTCGCTCACAGGTGAGTTTTGCTAGTCTTCACTCGAGTGTCAAAACGACTTGCAAAGTCTAGCTGAGATGCAGCTTCGCGATTCCCACTCGCGCAACAAAAGCTGTTCAATTGACAGCACTGTCTGCTTGCTGTGCTCCAAAGGCTCTCCTGTCAATTCACAATCTTCCAAATCGTCCGAATCATCCACGCAAAATCAGACGTTATAAGTTGACAGATGTTAGGAATCTTGCTTTCACTAGGTCTCACTAGGTAAGGTATGTGGGAAAGTCTCAGTCGTCAGCTCAAAAGAAGTCATCTTTGCTCGAGGATTGAATCCGGAACTTGGAAACAAACAGAGTCCCTGAAAAAAAGAACTTGGCTTCCACCATTCCTGTAGCCGGAACATTAGACGAGCGCTGCGTACTGGTGTACTTGTGACAAACTTTAAAAAATTGAAAAATAACGGTACTCCTGCTGCTAGGGGCTCCTGGCATCGCTACTAGGAGCAAGGACGCTACTAGGGGCTCCTGGCCTTACTACTAGGAGCAAGAAGCTACTAGGGCCTAGGGGCTCCTGTCTCACAGGCAACTGAGCCATCGTTTATTCCTTTCACATCGGACTCCTGCGAAGCTTTCCGCACGGTCGCAGAAGGGGAACAGCACAGGTTCTGCCTGCGCTGGCTTGGGTTTCCTCCCCCTAAACTCCCGGCTGACAACAGTCAACGTTATTGATTTTAAAAGTCTACAAATTTAATGCATGTCCAACTTGTCAAAAAGAGAATGGATCTATTAGCATCTATTCCAAAAACCCGTCAGGTGTACCATGAATACATTGGGGAAGCATCCGAAACATTCAAGAACAAAAAGTCGGAACAGCAGCTTTCAAAAGGTTCAAAGCACTACCCTCTCAACGGGGTACCCAAAATGGCACCATGATCACCATGAAGGTACCTCACTTATGGCTCGCAAACGACAGTGAAACACACTGCATACCTTCAGCAGTCGCACGAGTCGAAGCAAAAGGATCCCATCTGATTGAGCTCAAGCACAAGGTAAAACCACGTTCAAAAGTGCAAAAAGAAACAACATAAATCCTGCAAGAAAGCAAGACAAGAGGGGATCCAGACCGACAACAGCAGAAGCAAAAAAATGCCGAAGTGGTGCATAAAGCAAAAGCAGAAAAGCAAAGAAGCACACAAAAGGCAAAAATTGAAACAACACAAAAATGGGTGTGTATTTGTTTACCGTGGTCGGGCAGGGAGTTTGAGCAGGTGGTATGATTCGAGGGTATGATTCGAGGGTGTGATTCGCAGATGATTCGCAGCTTTGAAGTTGTATTGTTGGATTAGTTGGATTTCCAGCAGTGGGCCCGCTCTGCGCCGAGGCAGTAGGCAAGCAGCATCTGTTGAATGCTGGGCAGACTAGGCAAGTGCACTCTTCCACCAAGGACTCCAGTGGCCCTCTGCAGGCCCCACCAAACCAACCAGGATGTGAGATGGGTGGGAAACTGTGTGGAGGTGCGTGATTCGGATGAATCGGGCATGCATTGGGTGTGATTCGTATGACCATTAGATTCTGCAAAAGAAGGCGTTCCTCTGGCTCTTCTTTTGAAGGGAGAGCACATGGGAACATTAGGAGTACCCCTGGGATGTGAGCCTTTGCTCTTCCCACAAGAAGACAAACAATTTTGGCCAAATTGAGTGCCCATGGATCACACAATTGCAAACGTCATGCACCATTGGCTCATGGACATCTACAAGGCACAAAGACCAACCAAAAACTTCACCTTAACACCTGGTTCTTACGTGTACCTTTTTGAGGGGTATGATTCGGGGGTATGATTCGAGGGTATGTTTCGAGGTATGATTCGAGGGTATGAACCGCTCAAGTTGAACTTCCAACCACTACATCAAGAAGTACACGCAAAAAAAATACACACCCAAATGAAAGAAAAGCAAAGAAAACCAAGATCAACAGGGAAGCAAAAAGCAGGAGTCACAAAAATGGAATATCCTACCTACACTTCTTGGCCCACGCCCTCAGTCAAAACACACAGTGGCAAGCAGCCTGGAAAAGGAGCCACTGCGCTATCATGGCAACTTCGTCAGCCGGCGGGTCATACCTTACTGCTCGAAATGCATGACCCACCCAGCCCCGGCAGGGCATCCCACAGATGCAAGTCGTCAAAGTCTTAGCCTCCAACCTAATAGCCTATTAGCTTCTTGCTCCTAGTAGTAAGGCCAGGAGCGCCCCTAGTAACGTCCTTGCTCCTAGTAGCGATGCCCTTTGTTCCTGGTAGCTTCTTGTTCCAAAAGTGATAGTGTCTTGGATCTAACGGCCCCAGAAAAACGTGCTGCTTTCTGTTGTCTTTCTTTTTGCGGGGAAGAAGTAGGACTGGGTAGGAGGTAGGAAGCTGCGAGTTCCTTGGTTCCTTTCCTTGCATCTCCAAGTGACATCTCCAGCCAATGCTTCAATCTTCGAAGAATGCGCACCAGGTATTCACCGAGGAAAGTCTCCAGGGACTCCCGCGCGGCAAATGTGTCACTCTGACCTCGTCAGGTACCACAAAGTACAACCGAATTGACACCCAATGGTCTCACCGACAATTGAATTGTGTGCATATCCTTTCTATGCATATTTGGCGAACAGCCAATGTGGGTGAAAAAACCATGACAATTGAACCAAGAAATGGATGTATGTGTTTTAATTATATATGTGTTGTTTTTTGTTGTTCTTCTCTTGCAGAATGGATGTTACTGCCGCCGTCTTTGACTGAATGCGCTGGCCTTGAAGAAGTGCAGCAATCGCACGCTCAGCTGCCACAGCCGGTCGTGTGCGAGAAGCCTACCACGAGACCAAGTCCTTTAAATATGACATCTGCAAAATGTCTATGACAATAGAACCTGAGCATGGTGAACATTGGAATTTCAAAAATATGTGTTTCTTCTCGCCTCGAGCCGAAGCTTCTCGTCAGCCAAGGCTGCTGCGCAGGCTTCACAGAGCTGCAGCCAAAGCGCATGCAACGCACGTGTGAGCCCATCACACACCTGAGGGTCATGCAAGAAGGGAGTAAAAAGGCATATAACAGCATGGTGAAGCAATGGTTCTTTCTTAGAAGAACCCAGAAATTAAATGCATTCTGCCTTTTTCGGGTAACTGGAGTAACCTACAAATACTTACGGAGTAAGCATGGCATAGGCAGCTGTAAGCGCAAGTAGTTTCATTTTGTTTGATAATCGAACACCAAAACCTCTCCGTTGTTCAAACCTCAACAAAGACCCACCTGACCCCAAACATATGCTGACACCGAATATAATTTCATCAAGGAGCTAGAGTAGCAGGAGCCGGTGGCATGGCTTCCTGCGATTTCACGGAGCTACTGGCCCACTCGGGCTGCGGGTGACGTTTCAAACCGCCCAGCCTCAGTAAACGGCAGCCAGGAGTCAAACTTCTGATCAAGCTCTTGAGTGTTGACCTGGCAGTCAAGATCAAGTCTCATAAAGTGCATGAACTTGTCAGCCCAACAAACGTGCTGACGGCATTCGCTGCTCACTGGGCCTCCAATGTATCTGCAATGGGCGGGGGGGCTGGCCGCCAGTGTACCTCTCGCCAATCGGCAAGAGCTCTATGTTGCAGGAACTTGTGCAAAACTTCCCCAATGTCCTCTAATGACTCCCCACTTCAGCTTGCAAGAACTCAGTTGCTGTGGTTGGTTCTCGTGCACAAGCTCATAAACCATTCTCAGCCCCGCACCTTCTCTGCTCTGCCTTTTGCACCAAACTTGGGTGTCAATGGCTCCATGGAGGAGAGGGATTCTGCTGTTGTTGAGTTGCTGCTGGGCACGCCTCAACCAAGCGTGCAACAAGCTCAACAACTATGGCAAGCAGCTTTGAGCGCTCATGCAAGCCAGACCAATACCGAATGTCTTGCCAAGCAAGCCAAGGATCTGCAAACGGATTGCAAGTCGTCCGCATCGCTGTCGCTGGCATCCCCGTCGTCTGCGCTTCCTGCTCACCGGATTCTTGAGCAAACTTTGTCAATGTCTGTCCATCCAGAAAAATACCTTACTACTCACACAAACTGTACATATATTTATTCACACGCTGTCGAACGGCACATGGTGGCTCAGTGAGAGAGCGGCCATGTCAACCAGCGAACCCCATACCTCATCGAGGTCGCGCCAGGTCCCTCGCAAAGCGAATCGGCCAGGAAGATGTGAATCTCAAAAGCTCTTCGGAAACCCTAGTGGCAATGTCACCACTCCAACCAATGCCAACAGAAGGCATCTTCCTGAAGATACGCAAATGTGGACGTGCCTTCAGGCCAAAGTCCAGACTCAAACGAAAGTGCTCTTGAACATGTCGAAAAAGGTCGGTAAAAACAGAAAGTTCAGTGGCCAACGTGGGACGAACCAAACCACCACAAGGCACTTCGGTTGAGGTCAAAAAGAAACCATCGGCTTGATGCTCAGTCAGGGGCAAATGAAATCCGTCCAAAACAAAACCAATGACCAACCCCAAAAGGGTAACCTGAGTCTTACAAGCTGAGGTGATGTCCACAGCAATGCGCCAAACGAGCCGAAAATTTGCCTAAACTAATGGAACTGCTCAAGACCTCAGGGCCAAATTGAGCTGAGAGAGCGGCGTCATTGGCCTCAGAATCGACCGCCAGCTCAGTCAGAGCGGCGTCGTCCAGATCCCGGCTCTCAGTAGTCGAAGTCAGACTTGCTCGCGCCAGCTCAACGCGGTCGTAGCTGCATTCTCCTCCGCGCAATAGTCCTGGTAGATCTGCAAAAACTCAGGTGGGCGAAGCTGATTTTGCCACCTTGCCAGCTTGTCCACATAGTCATTGCCAACTCGACACCAGTCAGCTCGTGGAGAAGCACAGTCCTCCTCAGCCAAATGTGAAGAGAGCTTTTGCAAATTGATCCGTCCAACATCGAGCTGCTTGTTGCCAAAGGCCTTGATGCTTCCATCGAGGAGGGACAGTCAGATGCCTCTGCAAGTGACTAAAGTTGTCCAGCGCGTATTGGCTGTCCGTGAAGATGGTGGCATGAGTACCTGTTCGCCAAACCCACAAAAAGGCCGAGCGCACAGCCATCGCCTCAGCGACATCAATGGATTGGATAAGGCCCGGAACAGGGCCTCTGCCAAGGTGCGCTTCGGCTCAAGCGTAGTGACCGCCCAGGATGCCAACGCCTGAGATGGAGTCTTGGGTGAAGTACAGCTGCCATCTGTGAAAAAATGAAGGTGTGATCAGCCCAAACTTGCAGGTCCAAAAAGTCCTCTCGACGATCAGGAATCTGCAACAAAGCATGCCAATACTTCCATTGGTGAGAATTCGCAGGATGGAGACCGTGATGCGTAAAAGCCACCGAGCGATGTGGCCAAAGCCGAACCTCAGCAGGGAATCTTCGCCGGACGCGCGCGTAGTCCACACAATAAAGTGCTCGATGAGAAACAGTGTCAGGGACCTGGCAATGCTTGCAGAGCCCGGAGCGCTGCCCATCAAAGTGCGCTTTGGCCTGCAAGGTGAAGTAGGTACCATCCTGCACCGTAGCCGGAAGCTCCGCTGCATCCATCTGCGGAAAAACCAACGAGCGAAAGGAGGCTTCCCAATTGATAGAATGGAGACCATGAAAGTCCTTCCGGTGACGAACTTTCAGACAAACCTTTTGTCGCCAGCTGTATTGCAGAAGGAGTTGAGGGCCTTCAAGAGACAGAGTCCAAAAATTGAGGCGCAAGTGCTGAATCCAAAGATGCCGTTGAGCATCAAGACGCCAGTCGTAGCCAAGACACTGCACAACCGCACGCAGCGGTCCTTGACTGCTGATCCCAGGATTGTCACTGGACTGCAACCAAAGCTCAAGAATCAGAGGAAACTGATGCACCGTTCTCCAAAATGTAGATAGGACCTGCCACAGCTGCTGAAATTCAGGGTCCATCAACGGGGCCTGCGTGAGAGACCATCTGACATGTGGACTTGCTCCAGCACGATCCCAGCATAGAGCCCTCATAGCCGCTGGTCGAAGCTGATCAGTGGAAGTCAAAGGTAGAAGCCTGTTCGCTACCCCATGAAGCACCTCGGGCCAGGTGATGGTTCGAATGGCCAGGAGCTTAGCCCAACGTGGTGCCGAAGAGAAGCGGAGAATCCTCCAATGCTCAGACGCAGCAGCAATTCTGCCTTGCGCAACTTGAGATCGAGAGACTCTGGAGTACGTCATCTGAGCACCAAGATCCTTGGCGGCCAGCCTTGTAGTGTAGCCAAAGTGGCGAAGGCTGCGACGATCATCAGCAGAGGTAGCCCAAGCATAACATTTGCCAGGATCAAGACGAATATCCCAAGCGTCCATGAAGACTTGCAGAATGTTGATTCCATGGCATAATGAGCCGAGATGGTCAGCGACCAGCTGGATGTTGTCAACGAAGACAGGGCTAGCCACATGAGGGCTGTAGACCTTGAGGTAGGTGTCCAAGGCAGTATTGAAGGCTAGCATAGCTATGCAACTGAGTGGATCGCCTTCTGGAAAGCGTGCGCATGAAAGAACAGCGTTTCCAGTGTGATTGGAGATACGGAATCTGCGCTCCAACTGTAGAAGAGCCTGTTTCCAAGCTTTGGCGCAATCAGCAGGGAAACCTATCAATTGCAGGAACATGATGATGGGGGCTCTGGGCAGAGTGTTGAAGCGTTTGACCAAATCTGCGTTGTAGCCCAAAAGATCCGATTGCAAAGAGAAGGACGTCTGGATCAGGCTTTGGAGCAAATACCACATGTCTTCTGCTCGGCGACCTGGAACATAGCCAAAGACCAAAGCAGGAACAATGTTGGCCAGGTAGGGAAGGTAAGCGCGACAGATCCCTGTGGCCCAAAGCCGGTAGAGAAAGGAAATGAGCACGGTAGGCCTGTAGCGTTTGGCCTGCTCAGCTTCCGGAATCTTGCGAATGGGAACGACGAACCCAGTCACAAGCTGCTGAGGCCAGTGGGCACCATTCTGGATCGCCCGGTACATGTTCTTCAAGTCGGTATGCTTGTGAAGAGGAAGCCGGGCAATGTCTTCTCTGGACCAAGCATCAGGGCCTCGAGTACACCGCTTGCGATAGCGCTCGGCTAAGTAAGTAAACTGAGCCGTAGACCAATCGAAGTGCAAGGGCTGCAAACGTGGCATGTAGCGCAATGCGAAGGCAAGAATGCGATTCCAATGCGAGAGCGCAAGGCCCGAATGTTTTTGCCAGATAGGAGTCCAATGGTGGATCAATTCACTCTCCATGGCTTGGAAGGTCTGACAGGGAGCGCGAACCATGAGCGTCTGACCTGACGCAGGCAAGAGATCCCCCTCTATCTTGTAGCCGCCATTGGATTGAGGCTCGACATCCACCGGCTCTTGATTGAGCGTGAAGCGTTGCTCCCCCTGAAGAAGCGGCTGGGAGAGCTGCACAGCGTGGTCCGGATCTATACGAAGAACTTTGGCCTCCTGTTCTCTGACGAGATGAGTCATGGGCAGAAAATCTGCTTGCTTCAACTGTTTGGTGAGGATCTGGTTGCGCTGCAAATGTCGCGCTTGTACTAGATCATGTCTCCGCCGGTAATGCCAAGACTCAAAGCGATGATAGTTGGCCTCGAAATCGTGGAGCAGGAGCAAGGCCAAGGCTCGTGGAGGAGGCCATTCAGGGAAAGCAGCAGGCAGGCCAGCATGTCGAAGAGGGCGATGCCGATGCAGCTACCACTGTCGAATGTTGCTCCACGGGGTTGAGCTGGCGAAGCTGCGAAGAAGCCACGCAAAAGGTGTCAGCAATGATGGGGACCGTCTGCATGACCAAGTCCAGGTGAAAGTCACGAACTCCATCGTAGTAGAAGAAGAATTCCATGAGCGAGAAATCCAAGATCAGCAGACTCCAATGAGATTGAGCCAAGAGAGGAAAGAGGAGCCAGGTGAAGGGGCCCTTGCGCTCATTGATCAGAAGCTTGGGTGCGAAGCTGGCAGGACGCTTGAGGAGCAACTGAACAATGTGATGCGGAACAACTTGCACATTGTCACGAGTGCGCGATGGCAAGAGCTGGAGGATCTGCTGGAGTTCATCGTAGAGCTCGATGTGGTGGACTCCATTGGCCACACATGAATGTGGTCCCAAGCCGCGGAGTTCCCCTTGCTCACTTTGCCATAGGGCATCACCCCATCGAAAGCTCCGAAAGAGGTTGCAGAATTCCATGCCTTGCTTGTAGTGGAAGCCAAGCGTCTCAAGGATATGGTGGAGAGGCGAGTTCCTGCTGGCCCGTGAAATTCACGCTGAAGCACTCCATCATGAAGTTTGACAGAGATGAGATCAGTTGGCGCAGGTCGAGGATGCTTGGGCCTTGAGACCACGATCTGGTATGTACCACCTCGCAGTAAAGCATTGGGAAGCTGAGGAATACCATCACGGTAGAGAGTGAGCCAGTGGGCCAGCCCAATAGTTGCTGATGAGCATGAGGAAAGTGTTGTACCGTCGTCATTGGCTCAATCAGACGCGAGAAGGTTGCGTCGTCCTCCACGAAATGGATATCCTGAAAATATCTGTGCTCGCATGTAGGCCATAGCTGCTTGCAAACTTCAAGATTGGAATTGATGTAATTCAAGAGAGCCTCATTGGGGCTGTCAAAGTCGATCTGCCAAGATCCAATGCCAGAGGCTTGAGGTGCGCGCAAGGCATGGAGAAGCACCCACATGGTTTGCAGCGGCGCCGCAGTCTGACCAATGAGAGGCAAGTCTGATCTCGCTTGAGCAAGGTTGTAAATGAAGTCTGCAGGGAGACTGCATAGGTACCCTGCCTCACAGGGGCGCAAGTGCCGGTAGTGGTTGGCCGAAAAGGTAGACGGAAGCATGGTGAGCGCCACTCCATCTCGAAGCAACCGTTCATGGCTTAGCCCTTGACGCCGACAGCCGCAAGGACACGCAAATAGGTGATGACCCAGGCTGTGAAGCAGCGTAGGACAGGTACCTGACTGGCGCAACTCATGATTCTCCAGGATCAGGGTCGAAGCATAGAAGTCCATTTCTTCTGGAGTCCATGAGTGATTCTCCTCTTCAGATCTTGACCAAATTGGCCATGAAGGCATGATGTCACCCACCGATTGAAGATGGGGAAACTTCGGCAAAGAAGGCAAGATGCTGATGTGAGAAGCCGCTGAAACTGGAAGAAGGAGACACCACCAGCGCGTTCTCTGACATGGCCAAAGGTCAGAAAGACGCAAAATTTGCTGCCTGCTCTCAAAGTTCATCGCTCGCGCAAAAGAACTGAGGTGGTCCTGCACCTCTCGATGGTGTCCAGTAGTGGGCGTGCACTCCAACACTACAAAGGCCGAGTTGAAGAGCAATGCCGCGATGAGAGCAGCTACAAACACTTCCGATCTACTGTCCCCAAAGGTTTTTTGGTCTCCCATGATGCTGAAAGGAGGACAGGGGAACCCACACATCAATCCCATACGATCGCCCTTCATGAAAGTAAAAAGACTTGCCAAGTCCTCAGGGTTGCAAATGTCACCCTGGAGAGCCAAACCTTCATGATTTCGCCGGCAAGCATCCACTGCCAAGGGCGAATGATCCACGCATGCCAAGCTTCGAAGGCCCAGCGCACAAGCTGCAGCCGTCATCCCACCCAGACCGGAACAGATTTCAATGACCTGGTCCTTCTGAAACTCGCCAAGGCGCACAATGCGAGTGGCAGGGATGATGTCGAGCTTGAAGGAAACCTCAGAAGTAGAAACCTCAGTGAGCCATCCATTGAAGATGGACAGCTCTTCCCCAATCCTGAAGTCATGATCAAGAGCGATCGATAGCCCACGACAATGGGTGGACACCAAAGAGGCGCCCACAACCTTCACACGAAGGCAGACCAAACCAGGCGTTTGGAAAGCCTCAAGCCACCATGGGAAAGCCACGCCGCAAATCCTACGGGCCTTGGTCGAACAAGCTTACCTCTGGAAGGTTGAGCCCACAGCTTACAAACTGTACATATAAATAGTACAAGGATATACTGTATAATTGCTAGGCCCCGTACATTTTGTTGATGTTGCATCCCCCTAGTCTTCTGTAAACATCCATACCCTCTCATTCTTATCATTCCCGCTCTGTCTTTGACACCACTTCTTCAACAGTCCCGTCCTGCCATGAGGCGACCTGCCTCCAGCAGCACCAGCCAGCGCCGGGCCTCCCCAGCATCAGCAGCTCGCAGGCGCCAACAGCGATGTCCAAAGTCCAAGTTCAGCTCCCGGGGTTGGTCTTCCGCCACCTGAGGTGACCAAGAAAGCCACGAAAGCGGCAGTGAAAGAACGTGAAGAACAAACTGGTCTAAAGGTCAGGTAAGGGATCAAAATAAAAATAAAAATAGAGTCAAAAAAATACAACGGGGATCAATAAAAAAAAATAAAAAGGTAATCAAAAAATAATATTCTAGCCCACTGAGGATGGTTGGGGTAGTAGAGGAGAGTGTACCTCCCCAGGAGCTCCCTCCTAGTAGGGAGCTATTTCCACTGGTGAACCATTTTTCGAGTAGGGCTACTCAATGACTGGACGGCAACCTTATCGTTGGGTACCTACTTTCTTCCCAGGGAGCTGCCTCTAGTAGAAAGCAATCAAGCCTCTATTTGCGCAAGCAGGGGACCAGGAGATCGACAGACGAGCGCCGTAGGAGAGCAAAAGAGCAGCGGACCAGGAGACAGAAGGACTAGGATACCAGGGGACCAGCGGACCACAGGACCAGAGGACCAGGAGACCGGAGGACTAGGGGACCAGTGGACTAAAGGACCAAGGGACCAGGGGACCAAAGGACCAGTGGACCAAGCGACCAAAGGACCAAGGGACCACATTACCAGAGGACCCGCAGACCACAAGGCCAGGAGAGCAGCAGAAGAGGCCTATCAAGGAATATGTTGTTGATTCGCTTTTTTTTTGATACTGTTTTTATTTTTTTGTTGATGCTCTTTTTATATTTTTTTGATACCTATGCCCTAAAGGTCTACAGTCTACAGAAAATATGATAAACATCTTAAATAGACAATAGAAAAAACTGGTGTGAAAAAGGATCGTCTTTATATAAACACTAGCGACAGTATTAGTCACATGTTTTAGGGAATGGACGTCACTATACATTACATGTGTAGATATACATACTTATTTATTTTTGTATGCTCATGTCGCTACCCCAGGTGTGTATGCTATTGAAATATTTTGTCAGGAAGCTACCCCAAGTGCTGCAAACAATCTTTCCTGAAAGCTCCATTACTACTAGGTGTTGAATCCACCTGCAAACCTTGTGCTACTTGAAGGACACTTTCTCTTGGGCCTAGGTGGATTTATACAACATGGCGACTGCTTGGCTGCAGGATAGAAGACGATAAAAGAGAATCACCTTCACCTTAGGTACATTGTATACGTTAGGTCTTCAGGCCCCACAAACCCTGGGCGAATTCCAAACATGCAAAATATTCCTGTATCCAAGCTCCTTTACTGGTGCTAAACTCAGAATGCCAGGCTCATATCTCACCATATCTCCAACACGAGGTGCCGCTGAGACGCACTCAAAGTCTGTGCTTTCCTGAGGTTGAAGGTCTTCTTGACGCTGCTGCTGGGTGATTGCATGTATCGAAGGTAGCATCCTGAACAGTCTCAAAAGCTTCAGCCAAACAAGTGAACACCGCGCATAATATTGATCAACTCCAGCCTTCCAAACGGAAGTATCGCTGCTGCCACCTGCAAAACGTCTGCAAAGACAAACCAAAACTCAGAAAGTGCGCTGCATCTGCGAAAATTGCTGCCTTCCAGAAATCTTCCCAGAGCTGCGTTTCGCAAGCCAACCTTCGTGGCTCAGTTCTTTGCCTGCAGTTTGGCAATTCAAACTGAATCCATCTCGGCAAATACATCGTAGTTGCCGACGCCGGTCAAAAATCAAATCACTGCGTGTGCCTATATTGTAATCGCAAATTTCATAAAAGTTCATGTCATGATATTTTATGAAGGCTCGTTTGCACCCACCGAAGGTTTCTGCAGAAACACGAAGTCTATAGATCCTGCCTGGCAGCTCCCGTGCAAATCGCCAGCGCCCTGACTGGCTTTATGGCTTGATGGGCAAGTGCAAAGCTTCGTTGCTGTGGTATTCTGCGCGAACTTACTCGAACCAGTGGATTGGGGAGGGGTAAAAGATGGTAAAAGCAAGTATAACCACCGCCATGACTAGAACGAGTAGGAGCACCACCACTCCACGTCCGCACTCACCCACGCCCCCACTGCTATTGCAGCCACCGCAAGCAGGACCACAAGAAGAAGAAGAAGAAGGAGCAGCAGCAGCAGCAGACTTGGTGACTTGGTTATTTTTGTTTAAATTCAGCGGTCCCCCCCACCTGAAAGACTGGAGCTGCTCGATGTGCGGTGGCCTGAAGAGCTCCTTGAAGTCACGCGATCAGCCAGGCTGGTCGCAGAGTCCTGGTGTTTCACTCGCTCGACCATGGCTTATGCAAGTAGCTTATGCAGTCCTGAGACCATGGCAGCTGCAAAAGGTTACCTGGGACAGTTACAATCCAACCAGTTGGGATCGCCGCAGATCGTTCAAATGCGATCACAGAGTGTCACACGTCACAGGCTGCTGCACAGCATTACATGCGCGAGCCTCGAGATTCCCTTCTGGGCTCACCTGCTCAGCTTGGTCACAAGACCCCAACACCAATGCGACCGCTGTCAAACACAAAGACCCGCACCCAAGCAACAAGGTTCACAAAAGAGATCAAAAGAGTATTCTCATGTATATGCAGTAAATTCATCGATGTGCAAAGAATTTGAGACCAGAAGCTGACCCTGCCCCTCCTGCACCTCGTCTCTCACTTGGCAGTGAGCTCGAACGGCGCTCGGCATGCAGCCTCTCACTATCTCAAAAGGAGTGGGAAACGTTTCCCAAGATGTCTATCATCAACTGATTTCTTTCCATGCAGGGTCGGTAAGTTGGCAGCAAACAACGTTGATTCTCGCTACGTCGCTTGCGTTTTCCTCTAGCACTATCTCAGAGAGGGCCTCTCCGTCGACTTGGCGGGGGGCACCACCTGCGTCATTGCTTCTCAATGTGCTCAGTATCTCTCCTATTTCATCTATTCTCACAAAGGGTCTGGGTCTTAGGCCTTAGCAAAAGGCATGTAGAAAAAGGACAGGGAAGGCCCACTTTAAAGAAGCTGTACCTTTCTTCTAGTTTCCCGTCTTTTTGTAAGACCATTGACCATTGTCATTTGTAATTGTGTGCAATCTCTTCAACCAAAATGTCCTTCGGTGTCTGTCGCCTGGGGGGGTCTGGTCCATCCAGATCGAAAAGTCTCCTGACGAGCAAAGATAAATAATCCAAGCAAAGGAACAGGAAGCTACTAGGACCTGAGCAAAGGGCGTCGCTACTAGGAGCCAGGACGCTACTAGGGGCTCCTGGCCTTACTACTAGGCTACTAGGAACAAGAAACTACTAGATCTACTATATAGTAACAAAGGTGTGTTTTTCTTCCAACCCAAGAGCAATGGCATCCAACCTAAGAGCGATGGCCTGGACAACGGTTTAGCGCTGTTGTCCGGGGTACCCCAAGGCACTTCCGTGGTACAGACACAAAAAATTGAAAGTTATTTGTCTACCCGTGTCGCCCGGGTCTGTCGGCCAAATTATTTTACCACTGGCGCGGTACTTAAACCCAGCAAAAATCGAGTGTTTGTCTCGCGGTTTCAACCAAAATTTGACCTATCTCCGAAGTTAAAGGGCAAAATCGAAAAGTTGCTTTTCTCACTGCAGTGCCCGAGACCCTCAACTACTATGAATCTTAGTCTTACCGAAGAGGGAACAAGGACGCTACTAGTAACAAAGGGCATCGATACTAGGAGCGCTACTAGTAGCTCTTGGAATTACTAGCATTGTCCGAGTCCCTCAGCCGTGGATTTTAACGACAGCGAACATTACTTTTTGCTGTCCTGCGCGGGGTTGGCAAAAAATGTTTACCAAAGGCGGTGTAAAAACGGCAAAAAGTGCAACATAATGAACATGATCAGTTTTTGCAAGTTTCTCTGTGGGGTGTGCAAGTGGGTATCTCTTAGCAAAACAACCTGCACAAATCGGCTTAGCAAATATTTTGTTTGAGAGCCAAACCTTACTTCACATGTCCTGGATTGTCCTGGCCCGTCTCTTGAGCTATCTTGAACTCTGCATTTTGCAGGCATCGCTCGCTCCTTTGCTCATAAAACCTGTAAAAGTTTTGCCTGTCAACTTGCACCTCGTTTGTCTACCGTATGAACATCCCTGACCTTTGCCGCCCCGCGTGATATTGGCGCAAGCAAGAAACCTCTCCACCTCGCCCCTGGCTGCATGTAGCACCGGACTTTGGCAAAGGGTACGAAATCTCGACGGTTTGAAGAGTTTTGTTTCCAAATTCCAGGTTTGTCAAATCTGCCTAACCCTGGGTTTCCTGGCATACCAGGCATTGGTTGACGTCCGAGTGGCTACTGCTGTTGCTGGGATGGATGGGGCTGAAACGCGAATCAAGTCTTCTGCTTGCCTGCTTGCATGGTCAAGTTCTTTGACAGTCTCTTCCGTTCAACTCCGTGAACACTGTTGTTCCATGCTGTACATGGTGACTGTCACGATTCTATCAAGCCGCAGCCGCACCCAGTACTCCTGCAGGGAGGCCCTTCTTTGCTCGGAGCGAGCGATGCTAGCGGGGCCTTAACTTTGAAGTGACTGTCAACATATTCAGCGCTCAAACATCATTTGTTGAGAACTATGAGAACAATGACAGCTTCGAAGCAAAGGTTGAACTTGACAATTTCAATGCCAGCGACTGTACTCCCTCCATACATCACGCCAACTCAGTAATCACTGCTTGTGAGAGGCTGTAAAGAACTTGAGCTTTCCGGATGAACTGGACGCGAACGGGGTGCTATAGTAGGTGGCCAGCTACTTGCTATAATCTAGATCTTTTCATCACATCTTCACAATGCCAAGGCCATGAACAACCGGCCCAACTGCCTGTGAAAAAATAGCTTCGAATGCAATCTTGCCCAAAGGCAACCAAATTGACTCGAAAATAAGCTAGCCGGTTGCTCACTCCTTGCAGTATTGGCTTTTGAAGTCTTGAGAAATTCCACCAATCTTTGGACTATTGCGGCCATTATGGCTGCAGAAGATCTTGTGTCTTCACTGTATGCAAACTGTCCGGGACAATGTCCCTTCAGTACAGAAAATTGGATCCATGCACGGACCGTGTTTCCTCTCCCAAAACCATGTGTATATATATATGCATTGCTTGTGCCAAAAACCAAAAACATCAGACAAAAACATGGAATCGGCATTCCAAGACTTTGTTTCTCTGTTGAATTGGCCGAGCATAAAGACGGAGAGGCAAACAACCGGACCAGATGAACAACGGAGATATGTAGAGCTGCAACCTGGGTAGTCATCCGACTCCGACGCTGACCAGCAGCTCAACTGCTGCAACATGCTGCACTTATCTTCCAACCTGATTGCTCAACACGTCCCAGCTCTACCTGGCTTTCCCTACTCCGTTCTGATAACCAGCAAGGGATCTTTCGTGGGTTTCCGTCAAGCTGAGCGACGCTCCCCAAACCAAACCCTAGCACCGAACGTGCAAGGAAAAATCACAATCATCACCTTGCTTTCGAGCGGCCAGATGCTGCGAGGTCCTACATTTATATCTGTCCAACAGCAACAGATTTTACGCATGCTTTACCATTTAAGACAGTCGCACCCTCCAGCCTTGGTCGCACTCACTCTTATTCACTGAGTCTGAGTGTGGCTCAAAATTCTGGGGAAACTTATAACTCACGAGATCTGGTGTGGTGGATTGCGCTGGCCTGACCGGCCAAAGTCCTATAATTGGAATCCACCAAGCTTGCGTGCACTGCTCCCATGGGCTGCACACCTCACACTGACAACTCCAAAGCCCGCAACAGCAGGTCTTGCTAAACACATATGTTGGCACTGACAGCCTCATGAGAACGTATACACAAATAGAACTACAACTGCACAGCTCGCTCTGGAGAGTTTGGAGAGTGCCCAAATAACTCCTACTTTCCTGCTTTCTCCACTGCTCCAGCACGATGCTGCGATAGCTGTGATGCAAATCAGAACCTCAACGGTCACCAAGTGGACTGAGCAAATCAACCCTGATTGATAGACAGCCTGTCAAAGACGTGGAATACATTGAGAAAGGTATTCTCGACATGTCACTTAACCAAATGTCCCTTTCTCGTCGGAAGATCTGCTCAGCTTTCCTGCTTGAAAAGACTTGGAAACACAAAACCCATGCATTGTGTGCACCCAGCACATTCACATGCTGATATCGCACCTGGCAAGCAAGTGATGCTGTGGTCAGAAAAAAGTGGTAGAAAGGAAGCGACAAGCGGTGTTTTTGGCAATGGTCCATGTTTCCCTACTGTACTTTTTTTGGGGGGGCCCCACCCCACCCCATGAATGAAGATCGAAATCGATGCCAAGTTTGTGCAAATGCAAAAACACCGCAATGCAGTGGAGCAAACACGCAGAGAGAAGCAAAAAGAGTAGTTAGGCGGGAAAGCAACACAAGCAAGAAAAAACGGAAAAGCAGTCAAAGCAAACAATAGCAGGAAAACAAAGTAAGCCTTGTAACAATCAGAGTAGAAGCAAAGAAGCCAAACTACAGCTCTGCAAGAGTCCTCCCCCAAAGGCAATCTTTGAATAGATGTCCATGCTTTGCACATATATATATATACTATGTCATGCAATGAAGATGAGAGCGATATCACGATGTTTCTGTGCAATGTTCGCAACCCGAACTCTGCAGCCCTGCGCCTGTCCACTTGCCTCAACAGCCTGGAGAGCTGTTCAGCCTCAGCACAGTGTGGCAAGAACCGCGTCTTCATTTTTGACCAGCAACCACTGAAATGTCTATGCTATTGCCGCAATTTCCAGTGGTCAGTGCGCTTCATCTGGGCCAGCCAAGCCGTTCTTTTGCCTGGCTTTCCGTAGAAGCGCAGGCAAGCCTCAAGTATCCTTTCCAGAGTATCTGGGTGAGTACCAAGACACCACCGCCGCAGACTTCGCCAGTCATCCTGCACAGTTTAAACGAACCTACCTGCAAATTCAGGCTGAGTTGCAACGTGACCCGAACAAGCACGATGTGCACAAACTCTGTCTCTTTGTGAAACTGAGAGATTGCAAAAACTGCTGAAAACCTGTCCTTTGGCAATATTGCAACTGGCTGGGGCATGTGGGGCGGCGCCACAATCAGGCAAATGCGCTCCAGGAAGACTCCCCATGTGTCCTTGCGGCTATTGCCAATCACAGTGTCGAGACGTGTTTTTTACATGACATGGCATGAATATGTAGAGGCTCCATGACTCTGTTCGATTCCTTGTTCACATTTGTTCAACATTTCCGGTGAAAGCATCTCAAAACATCAAGAGATACAAGAAGTCTGAAAGGTCTGCAAGAGCAATCCCACCGTTCTCAAACAAGACTCCTCGGGCTTCTCTACCCAAGAGTCTCTCACGTTCCACAAGGCCTGCCTTAGCAACGCAACAAAATGCTCTCATCAAACGCCTTCTTACTGATAGGAACTGAGAGAAGCAACATTGACATTAGGCAATTGTTCTTGGAGGAGCAGCGCTTGCAATTTGTGCATTACGGGCAGCCAATTTCCGTATTCTGCTTGCTGCTCGGTTGCAGCTGCGCTAGGATTCGAAGGAGTCGCAAGGCGCTGGGTGTATTAGAACCCAAAGCCTATGGCGCAAAATCGCTGTGCAGTGCTTCCCTTGACATAAGTAGCTTGAAGTGTGTATCAGGCCTGTTGGGTTTCCAAAGGCTAATCAGGATGATAGTGTTTTTGAACAGGGTGCGTCTGAACTTTCCAATCAAAGCTTTGTGCCAACATGCAACATTGTCTCCCTCCTGAGAATTTCGAAGCTTGCGCTGAAGGCGCCTGGCAAGTTCGAATCAAGTCAAACATGCACAAGCCTCCTATTGTTTGTTGTCTGCTCTTCGATAAATGATCCTATCTTCATCCTCAAAAACACACCTTCATCTGAGTCACGCGACACAAAAATCCACGCCTGAGAAGCTTACAAATCTGCTGGTCATTCAACATGTCCGAGAGCTGTCGGACTTCATCAAATCCTAAATGCAAGTTTTGTGGCCTTTGGGCTCAAACTCAAGAAGAGAAAACATGAAAAGGGAAGGTAAAGCCCCCTTCAATAGGGCCCCCTTTTACCGGCGCGTTATTAAAGGGTGCCTTACCTATCCTCACCTTCCCTTTTCATATCCCTTTTTGCTACAGGTGTTTGTTGCTTTCAAGCTCTACAATGCCCTGTAAGACCGCATAAGCCAGCGGCTTCCACTGCTTGTGCGCTTCACGCAGCTCTCGTAGTGATTCCTGAATCCATCCAAACAAACCAAACAAATGCAAAAATTACAAAGCACACAACAGCAGTTCGTGACGAGCTTCAGAACATGACAAGATAGGGTGCTGAAGTGCTTCCAAGGGGCTTATTGCTTTTGCTTTCCTCTTCACGAACCTCGCTTCTGCCCAGAAATCAACTCACAAACCCCGCTTCCACCTGCGGCTTCCTCCACCTCTAAATGGAGAGGATTTAATGGGCGAGGACAAGGAAGGCGAAAAAGGCTGGTGAAAGGAACGGCGGTTCCAGGTCATGCCATGGGTCACGCCAAGAACGCGCAAGGTCACGTACATGACAGCAACGCTGGCCACGCCTGCATTGCTGCAAAGATGTTCTTCACAAGCCTTAAGAGATACAAAAGGCACAGCCATCATCAGAACTGCTCCGTTCTGTGACATCATGTAGGTGTCTGGTTTCCATTGAATGGCGACCTTTCCAGATGAGCATGCGGCCCCAAAACGCCTGGCATGCGGCATTTGCTCAAGAGCTCAAAGCTCGAAGCGAACCTGCCCACAAGCAAATGAGCTCACAGCTTCCTGAAAAGGAAACTTGCCCAAAGCTTTCAGTTCTAAACAAGCTCGTCACAACCCACGGAAGCACAATGTTGAGCAGAGACCGACCAAAGTGTTGTAAGAAACAGGAACATAGGCGGGGGGAGAGGGAGAAGAAACAAAGCTGGGACTGGGTCAGTTTTGGGTGGTTTAGCTTGGTTAGCTTGTGTTGGTTTGGTTTGAAGATAGAAATGCATATCAGGGAAAGAGCAGGTTGGTAACTAGGAAATATGTATTATTGCATGATGCTTTCAGCTGGGTGTTTGCAAGACTTCCCACCAAAAGCAGCCGTGGGTCTTGCTGTGGCTTATGCAGGAATGAATGTCAAATCAGGATGGCTTCTTCCGGGCTTGGGCTGTCTTTGGCCTTACTTCGTTGTCTTGCTTTGGTAAGAAAAGGCTGGAGGGGTTGCGGGTGTCTCCGAATGAACCATGCAAGTAAACAGTTAACTTTTGCTGTGGATTGGTGACTAGATTCTGCTTCTTTTGCAGTGGCATAAGGATTTCTTCTAGGGTTTCAAGGGATTACTAGATTTCTTGCACTTACATGCGTAAACTTGTGATCTATTGTGAACTAGTTGTCTGCGCACCCTTTTCTTTGCGTAGTTGAATTGTTTGTGGGACGAGAGTCGTGAGTTATACTATGCAGAACTGGTCATCTGATCTAAGCACTTGACGGGCGAAGTGTCGGTTCTGCACAGTCATCTGCCTGCAACAAAGC